CAGAATCCATGCACCATATCTATTTAGAGAACAGTTTAGAGGGTATTTAATAACTGCAGTGATATTATTGTAACATACCTTACATTCTTCTATTTTTCTAACTATAACTTATTGTTTTTTTCTGTTAGTAGCACTGTATTTATTTATGTGGACTTAATCCAAGTTAACCTTAGTTTTACTTTGCAACAGTGAACTTATGATATGGTTACAAACACATTTCCTTTTAGTGTGCTACAAATCTGTCATCAGCAATGTGATGATTCCAGAAGACCAGATTCTAGCAGAATAACTAAAACAATTACTCTATCTCCATGAAAAGTAGGAGAGGGGTGGGGCATTATGCAAGGAAGAACTACATCCAATTTTGGTGCAGATCATGTTTTTTTTTTTATATCTTTAACATTGCCAAACATTTTTATTGATTTCTCAGAGAATTATTCATGGACATTGTTGAAGAAAAATAATAAGGCATGTTTAATGGACTGATATTTATGAGTGTGTGCACTTTGGAGCAGATCAAAATAGAAATAGGGATCGAGTGAATTTAAATGTGGTTTCATAAGGGGAGGTATGCACTTTACTGAGTGCCATTCTAGTTCCATGTGCATTCACTCAGAGTTCTGTGGTATAATAAACAAACTTCCTGCTTTCAATGGAAACTTTGAACATTTTTCAGTATTTAAAGAACTTACAAACAATGGCTGCCATGACATGTTATTCATGATGCTAACTTTTTAAAACTTAAAAATCATCACGTGGCCTCCAAAAGCTCAACATATTATGGGCTCGGCTGTGAGTGTACATTGTGTTCACAGACCTCTGGGTTTTCATTGCTGGAATATTTGCATAAAAATTACTGAATAATATTATTGTTCTCAACTTTTAAAATGTCCCTCAAAATATTTAGTTTCTCTTGTTTTTTGCTCAATACTGAGATGCATCTGCAGATTAAAAAAAGTGGTCCACTGAGTTTTCCATTTAAGATGAAAGTACTTTTAATTGAGCGATGTTGTGTGGTTGTTGGCAAAATATTCACTTCTCTACTTTAAGAGGAGCCAGAGTTATTGGTAAATTGCGATTGGATTACGTGATAATACACACTGTGTATGTCTGTGTTGAACTTGTGTAAATACAGATGGAGAAAACCACAAACACAGAAAAGCTTAGCCCTGCTGATGCTGCAAATCTGAACATCTTACTAAAAGCTCTGTCTTTTAATCTTGGTCGGTCTGTTTCTGTGCACTGTTTCACCATCCTGCTCATGTGTGCTTGCAATTCTGCCTGTGTGTATGTGTAAGCCTCTTTCTGTCTCATAAGTGAGTAATGGTGTGGTCTGAAACTCTTGTCCTCCTATGGCCTTGATCGTTGGCATGCTAGAGGCCGTCAGCGTCCCTCTGCCTGCCACACGAAGAGGCCGCTGCCCTGGGTTGGGATGGGGGTCTCCCCTGGTTGTCCCAGTTTATTCTTCTGCATGGAAGAGCCCTTTGTCTGGGATTTGAAATCCCGGGGTATGTATGGCTGCTGTGGAGAATCGTCTGGGAACCTGGTTTGTGTGTGTGTGTGTGTGTGTGTGTGTGTGTGTGTGTGTGTGTGTGTGTGTGTGTGTAGGTCTCCAGTAATTCCTAAAAGATGTGATGTGATCAACAGGGATCAGTACAAATGCCCATCGTTTTGTCACAGAGACTCAATGAATGAACACACAATCCTGATGGGTGAGCGTGTGTGTGTGATCAGGAAACCACACTTGAGAATGAGACCTGCAGTGAGTTCTGACCTGGTATCAGCCATTCACTTATCCTGTCGCTGTTTTCCGGCCTTGTTTTAACATCTTAGGTAAGGATGGCTGAGCAGGGAACAGAGTTTAGAGAGGAAACCGCTTCTGTCGGCCTACTAATCAAGAGATTAGGGGCCACTGTTGGCATTCAAGCAAACTGTGATCCTGGACACACACACACACACACACACACAGTGAATCTGCCAGAGTGATTAAACTTGCATCCACGGCTAATTTCACCATCAAATGTCAGCCATAGCACAGCGTCGGTGCTGAAAGCCAGTGTAATTCGTTCTGCACTAATTTCCCTCACAGAGGAATGAGAGACCCCACAGACGCATTTACTGTCTGCCATAAAACTTGTCTCCATTAAGGAGAAGAGGGGAGAGGAGGACAGGATGAAAGATAGAGGGAGAGGTGGAGAGGGGAGATGAGAGGTAAAAAAAAAATAAGGGACGGGAGGCAGCAGCAGAGGAATGGATGGAAGATATAAAAGAGGAAAAAAGAAGAGGATGGCGGTAAAGAAACAAGGAGAGAGAGGAGGATAATAGGAAAGGAAATTTTAAAAAAGGACACAAAATGAAAGTGTAAAAGAAAGAATAAAAATATGATGTGAGGCTATTGCACCAGTTTTAATTTAATTCCATTTGAAGACTGACATTAATGTCATACTACCTACCCATACTAAAGCAAGCCCCAATAACTAAGTAACGTGGGCTTTTTTAAGAGTGAACACATAAAAGTGGCATCAGACCACTATGTCCTGGCATCTCAAAGTGAGAAACCCAATTTCCAACCAAATACTTTTTAACTAAAGCCAAAATTTTTTACACTCTGACTGGAGCAGAGTTTTTAACATGTCCTAATCCAGCGGATCAACATATGTCGTTGCAGTGTGACTTTTGGCTTCAAACATAAAACACATGGAAAACAAAAAGGAAACTCTGATCTGAGAGTAATAAAGCATATTCTCTTTTTTTGTCTGGCAAGAATTTGATGAAAAGATTTTGACTACTTTATCACATTCATGTGTTGGGAGGCGACAGGAAGCCAGAATGATCGGCCAGAGGGAAACTTTGGACATGTATATTGTCACCTGGCTCAGCTGGGGACAGACTCCACCGAGCACCTGCTATGGGGTCAAGAACCAAAAACGTGAGGAAGCCTGCCAAGACTTTTTCCGCCCATTGAGCATTTTTCGTAGGAACAAATGCATCACCATCTTTGGAACAAAGTAACTGGTTCTCCTTAGATATCCATGAGTGAGAACAGCTAGCCTTGCTCTGTCCAAAGATAACAAGTCTAAAGCTCACTAATTAACATGTTATATGTGATAAAAATGCTGGCAGTAGCCTTATTTATACAAGATATATAGTGCAGCCTTCTCATCAAACTTGTGCAGGTTATGACACTGCCTTGCTCAAATGCGCATGTGCATTTTATCACTGATTAGATTCTGCACCAACCTTTTCATAGTATTTGATCTCATAGTCCAGGATGATGCCGTTGGGTCTTTCTGGTTCCTGCCAGGACAGAGACACACTGTTTCGAGACGTCTTTTCCTTTCTGATCACTGTTACCGGAGATGGCGCTGGATGAGAGCAGGAGAAAGAGAGGGAGAAAGAGTGTGAGCTCCTTTATACTGAGGTTCAGTGGAAGTTCAGGCCCCGGTGTTGCATCCTGGCAATTGTCTATGGTTCCTGTAAGCCTAATTTATTTAGCTGAAGCCCAGTGGGGCCACATTAAAGACTGTGGGCCTGGGTTGCTGCTTGGGACAAGACAATGTACACTAATGCAAACACTGGCTTGAGTCTACATCCACTCACACAGGCTGAAAATACATACAATACTCACACAGCGTCACAGATATCTGCACTTCACCACTGTTTGAAAAACACAGCGAACAGTGCTCAGGCCAGAGGCTTCAGCTTTAATTCATCAAAAGAAAAGAAATGTGTGAATCCAGTTTTAACAGCTGAATGTTAAAATCATGTTCATCTTTGTTACTTTTAGATTTTGTTTCACATTGCAATTTGAGGAGCACACTACAGACTCTGTGTGACATATACATGTGTCCTGTAGTCATCGCCTACATGGGCTGGGTCTACTTTAACTTGATATTGATTGGTTTCTTTCATTCATATCATTGTCATATTCATGGTGCAGTACTCGACACTGGATTGAAAGCGGTAAATTCAAACTTTATTATCCTGCGAGTCCGGGCAACTTTGTTTCTGGAGAGACAAGTTATCTGAAGGAAAGATAATTTAGCTTTTTTTCACAGACTACAGGAGAGTAAATAGAGTAAGCAGTAATAACCAGCACTGCTGAACAGTCACAGTAAAGTCTGCCAGGTCAAATTTGAGAGGTAATCTCTGGCAGCAAGCAGTGGCCAATTTCATCAAAATAAAAGAAAACAAGGTTGTGCTTGGTTACCACGTTAACTCTCTGTAGAGCTGTTGAGAATATGAAACTCCCATTCATTGATTTAGTCAGTTTCACAAAAAACATCACATTAGTTCCCGATTTTATTCCTTACGAAGCAATTTCTCACCAGAGGTCAGTGGTTTGTCCGCTACTGTACAGTGACCATTGTTCCACTGCATTTTGAAAAAGTGCTTTCTTTTCAATTTGAAACCCTGCATGCCGTCTCTTTCCTTCTCTCTCTCTCTCTCTCTCTCCCCGGTTCCCATCCCTTTCGGTTTGGTGCACTCTCCCTCGCCAATCTTCCTCGCCAATCCTTCATCCATGCGTTGCTTAGCCTCGGGGAGTTCACATGGTCCCAATCTAGTAATACAGCACATCCCTCCCTCCATCAAGCCCGGTACCCCTCCCTCCGTTCTGTCTCTCGCTCTTCACTCCCTTTCTCATTTCCCTTTTTTACTGCTCTCTAATTGCCAGGCAGCTCCGGGGCCAACCCGGCATCTGAGGCATCGACTTTTAATTTTATTAGACCACAGGAAAAAACATGTTTGTCTTTGAAATGTTCGAGCCTTACTTGATTGTGATTATATGGCTGCATACTGCGTCTGTGCATGTGCGTGTGTGTTTTTGCGACTTTTCGTGCATACACCCGTGTGCGTATTTCCGCGGGAAGTTATTTTTTCTTCTGTAATGAATCCAGATGGGGAGAATCTGTTTCTATACCCCCTGCTCCTCCTCTCCTCCTCTCCCTCTGGTTCTGATAGCCGGGTGAGGCTGTGCTTTTTATTGGCTCTGTGGTTTATGGTGGTAATGATTTACTGTGTCTGGGCTGCTCGGAGGCAGCTTCAAGTTCCTCTCCTCCTCCCGTTCCTTCTTCTTGCCTCCCCCCTCTCTCTCTCTCTGTGCATGTCTATGGGCGAGCACTTCATTTGCTGTCACTCTCTCTCTCCCTGTCCATAGTTTCACTATAAAACTGATGCAGTACACCAGACCCATAATGCCCTTAAAAACTGGCCTTCAGCGTCATTCACCTGTGACGTGAGCGGCATGATACAGCTGTTGGCACGCATCTATTTCTCCAACACTGGTTGACTATTTGAAGTGACTGCAGTATGATGGAAAATGACAAAACCATGCCAAAACCTAATTTCTACTCAATCCTCTGTTGAGCGTTATCCTCGTCTTTCCCATCTCCCAAACTCGAACATTTCTTTGAACATATTCTTGGACTTTACAGCTATTGACCATCACCACCTCCAGACTTTGTGGGAATACATTATTGATACGTGGGATAAAATATTGATGAGGTGGCAGAAACTAGACGAATGCTCCTCTCTCTCTCTACATGGCCACCGTAAACCCGACAGTTCCATCAATAAGCAGGTGGAAGCAGGTGAGAGAAGGGATTTGCGGCTGCCTGCATTGCATGTGCCTGCGTTTTCTCCTGACAATCTCCTCTCTGGCAAGTACAGCTCCAGTTCAGCCTGTTGATATTAGACCATACTCTTCGATGTAGAACATTGTTATCTGCTTGTTAGCATAGTTATGACAAAGAGTGGAGGGCAAAGGAGGAGAGAGGACGACTGCTATCAGACAGCACCTTGACAGCGGTGCCAGGACACAGCGCTCCTTCCCTGGGAAATACTTAATCCAGCTTTTACCAGCTTTGGCATCAGTACCTGTATGTGTGCGAGTGTGTGTGTACGTGTTTGAGAGAGAGAGAGAGAGAATGTGCAAAGTTGGGTGGGGCTCGCTCACTGACATAATCCTTGTAAACTCTCAGAGCTGATGGAGAGTGTGCAGCTGCAGGCTATAGATATTTGTCAGAGAGAGAACTGTGAATGTGTGTGGTTACAGAGGTGGGTCATAATGTTAAGGTGTGTGTTTTTTGTGCTTTAATGTGTGTCTGTGTGTGTCTGTATGATTGATCTATGATATGGAAAGACCAAGATCCAAGCAAAACAGATGGTTTGCATAATTCTGAGCACACGCAGGCCTCTTTGTGTTGATAAGCTGTCTTCAGGTCTAATATACTGTATATTCAGTCACAATGCCTAGTCACACGCAGATCTTAATGCTGACTCACGGCAGACTATGTGAAAAACGTATTTTTGTCTTTTTTTTACATTTTCAATTGTTTAATTTGAAACACTTATTTAAATCCACATTGACGTTTCTACTCATAAGACAAAATGAGTCCTGACTTACCTTGAGGCCTGACACGTGAGGTTATATATATGTATTTATATATATATATATATGAAGACACACACGCACACAATCTATATTTACGACTTGTTTTCATCTTGTCACTTTAAAGAGGTCATGTCTGGTCCCTGTCACTTACAGTACAGCCCATGGGTGACACCAGTGTAAACACAGGAGACATCTGTTTGTGTGTACACGCAACCTTTAACATTTGCATATTCATCACATGACAGGTTTCATCTTTAGCAGGTTGACAAATGTATGATGAAGTATGTGTATCCTTGCATTGTGTGTGTTAGCTCTACAGGACTATAATGAATGACAAAGTTCTCCTACTGCAAGTGTTACTGGAGTTTGAACCTCTACAATTTTAATATACAGTATATTTGGTTGGTTCTGGGATTTATGGGCGATTCATTCTCTCAGGCTTTTTATCTTGATCTCTGAAAATGCTCTACCCTGCCTCTCTGCTTCTACATGAAAATGAAATAAGCATCGGGGTCACAGCATTGCATTCAAATCAGAGAATGTAGAGCCAGAATCACTTTCGTGCCATGTGCCTATCATCATTGATGATGGATCGTGTAAGTCTGACCTCGCTGTTGACAACTCATCGGAGAGAACCCTACATCTGTTCACTTTGCTCAATAAACAACCTTCCCAGTGCTAAATCCCCTTCCAACATCAAGTCCTACAAAGGAAATGTGGAGACGCATTAAGAGAGACTGGCTGTTGTTTGGGTTTGGACAGCGACAAGTGGAAATAATGGGGCCTGTGTCCAAGCACAGAGAGAAATGGAAAAAGAAGACCAAAGGTAGAGATAATGATTTAAAAGAAAACAGAAGAAAATGGTGAGCTGCCGACACACAAAGACAAACTGTGTAAGAGTACATGAAGGAAGAGGGAATGAACTGATGAACTACAGCGAGACTTTTGTGAATTCCTTGCTGGAGTCAGGTATTTCTGAGGTTTGGCTCTTTCTTTTGCAGCGAGATATATTTCACTCTTGGAATTTCACATCACCACTATCCTTTGCTTTTGGATTCTTTCAAGGACCGAATGTGTGCACAGATATTTGAATAAAAGTTGGATGGGTGTTTCAGAAGCCGATCCTCGCATTAAAAGTGTCAGTTAAAAAGATGAGATTTTTTTTATTTTGCATGAAGGAAGAAGACATTCGATCCTTGTCGTTAAACAAGAGATTAGTGGACTGGGATCGGCTTGTAAATGTCCAGGGCTGATGGTTGGGGTGCATATGTTTGGAGCATGTAAACTATAGGTCAGCGTTCTATATAAAAAGGATATTAGAGGGTGAGGGAGAAGGAAAAACCCTTTTTTTGTGCACAAGTACCCTTTCATAATCTTTTCACATATGAAGGAGGCAGCAGGAGATTGTCCAGGCACTACTAAACCTTCATAAGCTAAACAGGATCAATTTCATCTGTTTCCTGATTTCAATTTTCTTTGGTCGAATAAGGTCACTCCTGCATTTGTGTCTCTTAATGGTCATGATCGTCAAAGTCAGAGTATAGAACATCAGAGACATCTCGGCTTACTGACTGGTTTAAAGTGGTACAGGCTTCCAAGTGCACCGAGGCCTCAAAGGCAAAAGAGTATATTTTTTGTACTTAAATGAGCCATTTAAATTGTTTACTTGGTGTATTGATTTTTTGAAGTATTATGTACTATTATGTGCTATTACATGTACGATTAGCCATCTTACCAGCTTGGTTGGTGGTGATCGTGACAGCGGCGTACTGCCTCATCTTGGGTGCTAACGGTGACACCCCGTTCAGCGCTTCAATCTCAAAAGTGTAGTTTGTGTGAGCGAGCAGGTCGCCCACCGTCACTGTGGTGTTGTGGAGGCCCGTGGCTCTTGGCAGAAAGCGAACGTTGCTACGACACGGCTCACAGCGCATGGTTCCGCCGTTGCTACCATTGGCAGTGACAGCACGGCAGCGTTTGCAGAGAACAGTAAAGGTGATGTCCCTGCGGCCACCGGTGTCCTCTGGCCAGCTCCAGTCCAAGATAACCGACGTCTCGTTGATGGAGGAGATCACGTTCCGAGGAGCTGAAGGAGGACCTGGTAGACAGAGAAGAGAGGAAGATGTGGTGAGGGGGAGTTGAGAAAATGAGAGGGTGATTTGATGCATAGGAGGAAAGAGTATTGGATGGGAGGAAAATAAATAACAGGAAATAACAGTCGCTTGAAAATACAAAAAGTAGTGTACCTATTTGTAGATTTGCATTAAAAACGTGTCCTACTGAATGCTGCACAATGTACATACAATCCTGTCATCCTGGTTTGATTATGGTAATATCAGGGTTGAGATAAAGTCTGTATATGTAAAGTAATAGACAATATGACTCCTCCTCTCTTTTTGGATCAGTAAGAAAATGACATCCTCTTCCAGAGAAGAAAAGAGACTCTGTCAAAGTCAGACCAACATATAAAAGTAAAAATTACAAACAGATCCCTCTGAATATTTCCAGATTTTATATCAAAGCTATGACTGTAATTACATAGAGGACGAAACAAAACTGCCAAATAACTCTGCTGCGAGCTTGAGCAGGAGTACAAGGGAAAGAGAGTGAAACTTGCTTACTGAATTGTGCTTTGAGATAAAGTGCTTTGTTTAGTTTGTTTGACTTGACAAGAATTTATTATCCTTATTATGTATCCATTGTAATCAGCATCACATCCTTTGACTGTGTTTGTGTCGGAGAGAAATCCAAAGAAAAACACACAAGTCTCAATTTGAGCAAATCTTAATTTAAGACTGCTTTAGAAGAAATTTACTACTAAGGGCAGGAAACACAGAGAGCAATTTGTTAATTTTAACAGGGTGGCAGTCATCAGTCTTGCCTGCAGAGGACGGTGATATATTTATGGATATTTTAACAGCTACTGATGCAGATAGGATGTCTCTTTGTGTTGCTGATGGTAAATCTGCTTGTGTGGGAGAGAGAGAGGGAAAGAGTGCTGTCCTCCTGTTCTTGTTGATGCCATTTGGTTTCAACTTTTATAAGTAAACTACAGATCCTGCGATTTATATATATTAACCATAGAACACTCACTCACCAATTCTCCATATGCAGATGCATCAATCTCTCTCATGGGGGATGGCAGATATGGCAGGTTATTAAGGGAGGGTTTTTTTTTGCTTATTTTTATGTTAAAAAAAAAATTCTACTGAGGAAACCTTGTTTCTATATATTATTAAATAACCAGGCACCATTACAAATATGATTCAATAATGTGTTTAGTTGAAACTAAGCACACATGACATATTTCATTGCGTGAGAGTCAAAAAATGTTTGGCACACAGGAGAGGAAAACAGTATAATCACAAAACAACCTCAAGAAAACATGCATTTGCCTGTTTAAAAAAAAAAAATCTCCCAGCCACATCAGAAGTTCCCAAATCAAGAAGAAGAATCTGACATCCTGTTACTGTCAATAAGATTTGATTAAGAACAAGCATCTGATCTGAAGCACACAAAGCATAAAACCTATCTCCTGGTTATCATAACATCTTTCTTAACCGTTTACTCAAGATCAGCATTTGACTTCAGTAATACACATCAAAAATAATGTTAAGATCAAGATCAGTGTTGTTGCTTATTCCTCATATGACTCGTTTTCATTCCTTTGATAAGCGCACATAGGGAAAAGCCTTTTCAAAAGAAACCGTGTATTAAATCAGGGACTATATCTAATATTCAGAAAATCCATATGTCAACCACAATCTGTGAACTGTTAAGAGTGACTGCATTTTCTTTCATGGTAATCTCCCCCTGACAGTCCTCTGGCTCGAAAACACATCTACCTCCACTGATCACGTCAAGGTTTTTTTGGACCAGTAATCCACATCAGATATTACCTGCACTGCAGATGCATGCACATGTACACATGCAGGCAATCACAAACTCATTCCAACTGTCAAAATAATGCATAGACCCAGAGAGTAAAGTCTGACGTAGATGCACCTGAAATCTCAATTTGCACACAAAGGGACTTAAGGTAATTGACAATTTCCAGCCTCCTGCTTATCACTGGAGATCTCTGCAGACACCGAAACGTTACATTTCGAAAGAAGCAGTGATTGTGTTTCAGGGAGGTACTGTAATGGTGGTGATCAGCGGGGCGGACCAGCACGTTTTGTACATTTTTGTGATAATTTGGAGGCGGTGCTGTGGGAAGTAGGGGAATGCATTAATGCAGTTTTAATTGCTGGGAATTATTTCTTGGGGAGCAGACAAACTTTATCCAGTGTTAAGACAGCTGTTAAAGGAACACCTAATGATAAATGCAGCAGGAAAATCATTGTGGATAAAAGCATTTTCCATTTTCTCTGACTTTAGTATTCTCATTTTCCTGGCCTTATAGATTTTTCTGCCAAGATTTTCAAAATATGCAGTCAACTCTAAACAACCTCTGTCACACGGCGAACAGTAAAATCCCTCCTCTGAGATAATCATGATCATTATCTTCTAACAACTTATCTATTCATTTGCAGCCCCTGCGTCGCTCAATCTGTCCCAATGAGGGGAAATGTGCCTCGTTGACAAGATGGTTTTGAGATTATCACGACAGAGACCTGCCACGACTGTCTTTCTAATTACGATTCTGTCAATGGCTCTGGGCGTCAATTTGTATTTTTGACTGTTCTTCGCACAGTCAAAGACATTTTTTCTTTTCCTCCCTAGACCCTTTAGTAACGGATGTATCCATAATCTGACATCAGGGAATGCGGTGATTTATAGTTTTACGGGGGGATGCATCTTGGAAGGATTGCAGGAGGCATCTGCATCTGCAATCCATTTGCATCAGATGGAGACAAAGGAGAATCGTGTAGGGAGTAGAAAAAGTGATAAAGAGTTCCCAGGCAGCAGTCGCTTCAGTGACCTTAAAATAAATAAGGAATGTTAACCCCTTTGTCTATTATTGAGCTATTTCACATGAAAAAAGTCTTCAATTGTATTATATGTTGAAACCAACTGTAAATGCAATGCAAGGTAGACACTGTCTGTATGTAATATAAGTATACATTTATGTTTTATAGGAATTGCAAGGACAAACAGTATTTATCTACAAGAATAGAAACACATTGGAAAGCATTTAGAATACAAGAAGCTAAGCAGCTCTTTAATGAGGTGATAAGACAGGTTTCAGTGCATGTTTTATGGGCTACTGAGAAAAACGTTTCAGCACCATATAAGAAGGTTTCTCTGGTCAGGTCTCTGATAGAAACAAGTACATGAGAAGCTGAGGTCAAGGAGAAGCCTGCATCATGAGTGCCGCTGTCTCCTCAACCAATAATGTTGAGCTAGCACTGAGAGACTGATGAAAATTTTCTAACTACACTTAATTTAGTTTACAATGCACAGCATGGACTTACAGTGGACTACTGTTGTTCTGCTGGAACAACCTTCAAAAGGATGAAAATGTTGATGTTTTATTAACAAGAATTAAAAACCACCAATTAAGTCCAGCTTTTGTGAAGTGGTTTATAATTGTATGGTTTTATTTTCTTTATTACTTAATTTGATCATTGTTGTGTATCTTATTCTATTTAGTTTTAACAAAGATAACATTTTAGTGTTGATATGTATATTTGTTATCTTAACTTTCTTTTAGTAATGTCTTTTCTATCATTGATTTCTTTTAAATCTACATTTTTTTTCTTTTCACTTTGAAATGCTTTTTAATATTTTCTGGAAGATCCTATATTAATAAGATTTAATCAATTGATAATCACAATGCAATTACACACATGGCACATGCACGCTTATACTTACGGGTACAGGCCATGGCGGCGGGGTCTCCCTCGGCGCGGAAGTAGTTTTTCTCGCAGCCGCAGTGCAGCGACCCCTCGTGGTGAGAGACGCTATGAGGCGGACACTTGGAACACTCCATGTTTCCGAGCGTTGATTTGTAGAAGCCCGCCCTGCACACTGGAGACAAAGGGACACAGACGGATACATGAGCATCATGCTGAAGCAGCACATCGACAGCCACCTAATAGCTGCATCTCTCTTCACAGCACCTACAATGAGAGCGAGAAAAGGACGAAATATGGGTGGTATTTAATCACCCACTCTCACACACATACAAACACAAACCGCAAGAAGAGGCCTGAATGTAAATCTGCTGTCTGTGTAACAAGAATCCATTGACTGCCGGTAAAAAACAATAATTCTCTGGAATCTCTTTGTCTCTATTTCTCTCTCTCTTCATCTCTCAGAACATGAATAATGCAAATTGTCCCCTCAGATAAAAGGGATGTTCTCTTTAAATATCTGTGGTATTAAATCTGCACTCAGCAGCTCTTTTAACTCCTACTCACCACAAATCTGTTGCAATCTGTGCGACTAGGGTGACACTCCACCTATAAGACGTACATCGCACGTGTGAGTGTGTCTCTGCGAGGAGGAAGATCAAGGAGGAGGTGATGAGGAGAAAAAAAGACTTCACGTTTTTGACTCCAGAATTAATTTGTCTTTCCATTTAATTCCAACTGCTCTTTTCTTTTGTTGTATCCCAGGTTGAATCCCTTGTTATCTAATCTACGTTTGATAACACTTAAATCAATAAAAGCCTTTTCTAATAATGCTGAAGTCATTTTAACTGTACAGAAGTTTCAAGCACTAGATGCACTATTTCTAATGCAGGCAAAATGCAACAGCCATTGAGCATGTCTGAAGATAGACGACATGACGACTCCACAAAAGTGAAGCCAAAGTGTCTAGTTTGCCCCCTGGTGGCAGGCTGTAGTCTAGAACAGAATCCATACTGCTTCAATATTAATTGATGGGAGTTAAAAAGTCAAAGTACACGTTTTAAATACTACATTATCTTTTTTGAAAGATCTTTGCAGACATTTTAAGAAGTTCTTATCACAATGTTAAAGGGAAGAAATGGAGGTGCAGTGTCCATCTTTATATAAAGTCTATGGTAACAGCAATTTCAACCCAAAAGGGTACTCAGAGAATACCTCCACCAAGACTAACTCTCTATCTCGCCATGTTAATGAAAGTTTGACAGAATTTCAGTATTCAGTCAAATGTTTTGTATATAATTCAACATTCATGAATATGTGGACGACCAATATATATTAGAAATATTTATTCTATTAAAATAGATACAAATGATCCATGCAACATGAATATTTACTGGAATCTGAATCTTGCACAAACCTCTCTCTCTCTCTCTCTCACACACACACACATATATATATACACACACACACTAGATTTTAAAAAAATGGCTCGCAGCTACGCGGCAGCCCAGCAGAATGTGTGGGCTCAGCAGAACAGCTCTGACAGATCCCAGTGGTGGACAGCACACTCCTGTACGAGCCAACACTGCTGATACTACGGCCCTATCCATCACTGACACTGGCACACCAAGGTCCCAGCGCTGCACTAAATACTCCGCTATACCTCCTCCACTCCGCATTGTGTACGTGAGCGTGCGTGCGCATGTGAGAGTAATAGAATGTGAAGCGGGGTTTAAACAGCCCTGTATGATCCCACTGATGGAACGACAACCACAACACTGTGCTGACACACACAAAACAGACCACCCTGATTGGAGGACACACCAGGAAATTAGAGGTGACAGCAAGCGCCCCAGCCAATGGGGTGAAAGAGGCGGCGAGATAACCGCTCGGTCAGCAGAACAGCATAAAGCAGAAATGTGGATTAACAGACGAACGTTTATTATATTAATCTCATAACAGTGACTGAGTGAGTCTTCATCTGATCCTTCCATTCATATATAACTTTGACAGAGAGCAGTTCACCTCTATAACCCCAAACAAAGATGCTGTCAGTGTATGCATTGGACAGTTGTTAAACCACTGGGCTCAGGTCCAACTGGATCTGTTTCCCTTTAGCTGGAGTATGTACTAACTCCAGGCATCGCTCTCATTGAGGATTAGAAACTAATCAATTATGGAGAGATACATGATATATGCACAGGATATTTGTTGCCAAGTTTGAATAGTTAGAATATCGAAGTAATTGATTTATCTAAAAATGATAGTAATGTGAATAATAAAGTGTGGACGGCCTGTATCTGCCTGAAGCACACAGCTCCAAGTCCGTTAGTTTCATATTGAAGACAAACTGTAAATGGGTCACAAATAGCCTACAGTTTGTATTTTCATTTTGAAAGAAAGCTTTCCTTCAATAGCTGGGCATCGCAGTTTTTAGCAAACGTTCTTCACAGGGAGGGGAGGAAATGGAGAATGCAGACTAATAAATTACAATGCACTTTGATTGCAATGAGGGGGACATGTCATGCAACTGTTAAGCTAACCGATGTGTTCATAATGAGGAATTAGCTGTGTCAGTGTTTTTCTCCCCTTTCTGCTACTGTTTGCCAGATCAGGCTACAAGTAATCCAGAGCAACACCACATGTCAACCAAAGGTGACTGAGTTTGGTCCAAATTCACCATTTACCACAATGGCCACTTAAGGTTCACATCCAGATTACACTTTGCTTATAGATCCACATGTTTGCCCCCAAAAAAAGTCCACATTTGTTTTGGGATATTTAGCGATTTCCGTCAAAAAATGTGTTAGTTGGATGAATTTGTTGGTATTACGAAAAAAGAGAAAGTCACCAGGGTTGTCCTTAAAGCAGGACCTCTTTGCACCTGCTGGATGAACTGAACATTTTACTACTCTTGGATGAATGATTCTCACAAGTCAACACTCCACAAACAGCAATATTTCTCCTTGAAAGTCAGAAGTACACATGAACTTCTCAGTGCATAACACAGCTGTGAAACTTATCAGGCTCAGAGTGGATCTCATAAACATTCAATGTAAAAATTAATAACCAAAGCTGCACTTACGGCACGAGCTTTTCACACGACAAAGTAGTGATAAGTTGTATTTTCATGACCCCAGCCGTTTAAAATATTTTTATAACAGCTGGAAATGGATAAAATGGTCATTTTTCTTCCTTGTGTGTCTGCCAGGATAAAAAGCAGCTCTGACAGAGGCTGATGGTAAAATCAGATTTGGCTCGCAGGAGGTTAACTCCTCATCTTGAGCCGAACCGGGATGTGTTACACTGACATTGAGCAGCAGTGTGTGCAGAGGCAGTAACGTGTGTATAAGTGTGTGTCCTGCAGGAGAGGAAACACATCACCTCTTGAGATGACAGTGTATGTGTGATTAATTAAATGACGTGTGTGTTCCTGTATGTGTTGATTTCAAAAATGTGCACTAACACACACACACATTTTCACTAGAGCATTACATTAAGCGTCCACAATCTCAAATTGTGATAGTAAGACAATAGAACCATGCAGGATACAACAACCAACAGCAAAAATCACTTTACACTTCAAAGTTAACACAATAACTCTTGTTTAATCATGAGTTATTATTTTATCACACTGTATACTGTGTAAATATTACACATTAGACATATTATATTGTTTTCCAATTGCATGTGGCACATGGCTGTTTTGGTCCGATCATGATCAAAAGATCACACCCGTGGTAAACGTGTGTAATGTGCTAGTGTAATTATCTCAATATAAATAAAAACCCTACCAGAAAATAAAAATAATATCAGTGTTAAGACACTGTCATAAATCAAGGTCTGAACCAAACCGTAAAATTGAGAAATTGTTACATCCCTTTGTGTTGCACAACACAATATCTAGCTACTCTCTACATAATGACGGCTGAAACACGATATCTCCATTCACTTTAAAACAGCGCTACACAATAACATTTCCGCACGTGCACAGACACACGAATACACACATGCAACTCCAGTCGCGACATGATATGTTGGTTGTAAAATAACTGGGGCTGCAATTTGCTCAATCAATAGTCTAGGTCATAGGAGACCCTCATCAATAATTAAGGTGACTGCTGGATGTTCTCGTGGTCCCATGCAGCCCCTCGTTTTAGAATGTGATAGTGGAAAAGCTGACCTGATCTTTGTGATATAAGATTTTTATATGCTTCTTCTAAATGGAGCCAATTACAAAGAAAAACATTGATAATCGAAAAAGTATTTTCCAAATGACTTTCAAATAATTTTATGACAAGGGAAATTATAGTTTTTTCCAAATGTGTGATTCTAAAACAAACATATTTCACTGTTTGACAAGAGTTATTTTAACGTATAGAATGCTTTGGTAGAAGTTACACACAATGATTTAAACTACTTTAAGTACATGTCCATGCTTACAGTGTGTGGAAACTTTACTTTAAAGGAACTTTATACTCACAAAGCCATTACAGAATCAAATTCTCTGAATCTCAGATTGATTTGAATATACAGTAATCATCAGATCAAAAAGATTCAACTCAGCAGCAATACGTCTCACACGACTTGCATCCTCTTGACCTCTGACCTTACTCATAACTTGCAAATTGATCGGTGTCACATTGTGGAAGTGGGAAAGTACCTCTGCCCTTGACCTCTTTCTGTGTGTCAGCCTAATTCAAGGCTTCTCTCTCCATTACATAAACACACACACACACACGCACACAAACACACACACACACACATACACACACACGTTTTCAAGGTTCATTCTTGTTACAAACAGGGCCGGATTAAAATGACCTAACAATTGATTTCCTGTTTCCATACCACCTCTGCCTCTTTTCTTTTGAAATCGGACAAGATTGCAATGACTTTCACTCCCTCTCTCCTCCCCCTCCATCGCCGCCTCCCCCTCCATCCTGCCCTCCCTCCCTCACTTCTTTTCTGTGGCTTTTCCCTTCCCTTTCTGTTGCTCCATCCTTCTTTTTCTTTAATTGGAATAGCGCTCTTTGAAATGGAAAAGTTATTTACTTTGACAGCTCAGGCATTTGGCTAGCGGTCTTATCCGGAGCCACTTGTAATGTTAGTGGAAACATGGCAACAGTAAACATCTCGCCCCCTGCCATGAATTCCCCCTAAGGCCAACCAGTA